TATAGGAGAGCTATGTAATTTTTTTATAGTAGTATATTGGGGAGCCAGAGGGGGGGTCGCTACCCAGTAAGGCTGCCAGTTTCTGGAGTAAATAGCAAACAGCCTTGCTGACATGCTAATTGACCCAAGCTTTGTTCCAAGGTTGGGGGGCACACAACAGTAGCCTTGCCAACGTGTTGATTCGACTAGAAGCAGAGCTTAAAGGTCGGGGGGCTCAGACAGATCTTGGGGCCTCACCGGGTCGGACTCCTCCAACAAGTATTGAGAGAATATTGATACTGGTTCAGTCCATTGATCTTGTTCAGATTTTCCCAGTTTTATTTGCACCTGTGGGGAGGGGGCGGGGGGGACACACATATGCAGTTGATTACCTGGTACAAGTTTGTGTATCCACAACCACAGTCAAGGCAGTGGAGAGTTCCAGCACTTCAGGGATCCCTTGTATGGACTTTTTTTTTTTAAATGATAGCCACATCAATTTCTCTCCTGTTCCCTTGTCCCCATCCCTAACCCCTGACAACTACCAATCTATCCTCCAATTCTAAATATTATCATATCAAAAACAGTATACATATATATATATACACATATATATATGCATATTATACTAAATGCATGTTGTATCATATACTATAAGCACATTATATAACATGCATGTTACAGCATATTCATAATGATATCATACGTACCATTACATCATATACACATTACATATATATATACATATATATACATATATATATGTATATATATATACACACACATATACATATACTGTTTTTGATATAGTATGTAACTTTTGGAGATTGGCTTTTTTTTTTCTTTTCAGTGTAATTCTGTAGAGATCTGCCCAGGTCGTGTACAGGAATAGACCATTCTCCCGTGGTTGTGGAGTACCCTACAGTTGTACAGGCCGTAGCCTTGCACTGTTCACTGTTACCCATGACCTCCCTCCCCATCATGTCGTTTTTATCTCCCTCCCAGTATGGATAACCATCTGAAAGCCTTCCGTGACAGTTTTCTTGTCTGCCACATCTGTGTTTCAGCAGAGCAAAGTGCAGGGGACCAGTGCCCCCTCAGTGTGTGGCTGATGTGCCTTTTCCAAGCACATGCTTGGCATTCAGAAAATGTTTGTCGAACGACTGCATGAACGAGCACGTTAGCAATGTCGATCTGGAAAAAATGTGCAGAGGCTAAGTCATCGGAGAGGGTGAGCTTGGCTCCTGCTGAGCTCAGGTGTCTCACTCACTTGGGGGGTAGGTATTAAAATTGCTGTGTAATGGAAAAGTTATCCTTGACAATTCCTCGAATCACCTTGAAATGGCTGATAATGGGACTTTTGGCAGCTCAAAGGCAAGAATTAACAATCTCCATTTTTCTGGGCGTGTGGGCTGTGCCTTCCTAGCTGTCGGGTAGTGGAAGACAAGGTTGTTGAGTTGGGAAGAGGGTAACAGGGTCAGCAAAGGGATTTCATTCTCTTTTTGGAGGGGCCAGGGGGCCAGCAGATGGCGTCATGGTTACATTGCTGGACTCCCACGTAGTCCACCATAGTCTGAGTCCTGGGCCCGGCAGCTTAAAACTCACACTGGGGGCATGTGTATACAAGCTCCCCCCCCAAAAAAATGGACGGACTGGGTGGATGTGGTTGGATTTGTATGAACACGCTATGGTGTAATGTGCATTTAATACAAAGTGCACGTGAGGTAATGTACACATGGTGTGATGGGCATGAAGTGGTGGATATGATATGGCTGATGTGTGTATGTGATGTCATATGTATATGATGTAATGGTGCGTATGATATCATTATGAATATGCTGTAACATGCATGTTATATAATGTGCTTATGGTATATGATACAACATGCAATGATTTAGTATGTGTATGATATAACATGCATATGATGTAACATGCTCATGGTGTAACGGGCATTTAGTATAATATGCATAGGATGTAATTTGTGTATGTTGTAGTGTGTGATACAATAATGCATATGGCACAAGGTACATAGACGTAATGGTGCATGTGGTGTAATTACTCATATGAGATAACGTGCAATGCCTTAAGGTATGGCATGTGTATGGTACCATGTGAGTATGATGTAAAGCGTGTATGATGTAACAGTGTCATATACATAGGATGGAATATCCTGTGACGTAGCGGGGCATGTGGTGTCACATACACAAGATATAATGTCTTGTGATGTAACGAGGGATATGATGTCACACACATGGGATGGAACATCCTGTGACATAACAGTGCATGTGGTATCACACACATAGGATGTGACATCCTGTGATGTAATGGTACATGTGGTGTCACACACATAGGGTGTGACTCCTGTGACATAATGGTACATGTGGTATCACACACATAGGATGTAACGGCACACACGGTGTCACACACACAGGATGTAACGGCCTGTGATGTGGTGGGACGTGTGTACCTCATCTCCTCTCTCACAACATGTCCATCGTTTTCTCTGCTCCTTTGTTCCAACTCAGGAGGCAACCTTTCCAAACAAGACTGGACCATCCAGTGGCCTACCACGGAGACCGGGAAGGAGAACAATCCTGTGTGCCCCCCGGAGCCGACCCCGTGGATCCGCACCCATCTTTCCCAGAGCCCCAGGGTCCAGGCCAAGTGTGTCCAGCACTACTGTCACACCAACCCCACTCCAGGGGCTCCTGTGTACACCCACGTGGACAGGCTCACTGTGGACGCCTACCCAGGCCTGTGCCCACCACCGCCACTGGAGTCTGGCCACCGATCCTTGCCCCCATCACCCCGACAGCGGCACACAGTCCGCACCCCGCCGCGCACCCCCAATATTGTCACTACCGTGACGCCACCTGGCACGCCGCCCATGAGGAGAAAGAACAAGCTGAAGCCGCCGGGGACTCCGCCGCCCTCCTCCCGAAAGCTGATCCACTTGATCCCAGGCTTCACGGCTTTGCATCGGAGCAAATCGCACGAGTTCCAGTTGGGGCACCGCGTGGACGAGGCCCACACGCCCAAGTGAGTGCTGGGGGTGGGTGTCCTGGAGAGGGAGATGAGGCCTCCCAGGGGCTGCCCAGGTCAGCCAAGCCGGGAATAGACTTGTGTTTCCCCCTCTGGTTGAATGAAAGGGGCTTTAGAGTGGAACATCCCAGAATTGACCACTTAAAAAAGTACCATGAATACTCCAGAATACGGGTTGGCCAGCTATAGCTGGGGGCTAAGTGTGACCTGGGGCCAGCTTCTGCAAGTCACAGGTATTGGAACACACCCATGTTCATTCTTATGTATCGTCTGTGTCTGCTTTTGCATGACAGTGTAAGTCACGGGTATTGGAACACACCCATGTTCGTTCTTAGGTATCGTCTGTGTCTGCTTTTGCATGACAGTGGCAGAGTGGAGTATGGCCCACAGAACTGAAAATATTTTCCCTCTGGCTCTTCACAGGAAAAGTTTATTGATTCTTGTAGAGTCTAGCCTAGGCTGCTCCTCCAAATAAAATGAGAGCTATAACACATATGGGAGTTTTCAAACAGTTCATAGAAAGATGTGTATTATGAAAATACTATTCATGAATTTAGATTTTTTTTTTGGCACCAAAATAAACTTGTACTTTAACTCCATTTTTCTATGAACTTTTTGAAGTCCCCACTTATTAACCTTCAGTTTCCTTAAAAAAAATATTTAAGTGTATTTATTTATTTCTTCTGTGGGAGAGAGGAGAAAGAGAGACAGCGAGACAGCACCCCACCAGTGTCTTCATGCCATTATCCAACCCTGGATTCAGCTGGTCCCAAATCATGGGCACATGTGTGCCTAGCATGTTCAGGGAGATCTCTGGACATGAACCTAGAACCTTCTCATATGGGTCAGCCTCTCAGAGCACTGTGTAACTGGCCCCAGCCTTAAATGTTCTGGTAGCTACATCAAAAAGAATACAAAGAAACAAGTGGCATTAGTTTCCATAATGTGTCACTTAACCCAATACACCAAACTGTTACCATTTCAACATAGCATCAGTGTAACTTATTATCCCTGAGATAGTTGGCATTCTTTATTCTCTACAAAGTCTTCAAAGTCCAGTGCATATTTTATATTTAGAGATTGTCTCTGGAAGGGGGAAAGAAGCAGGAGGCACTGACAGAAAGCCCTGGGGCTCAGGGAGCCGAGCAAGGTGGTGTCAGAGAACCTCCAACCCAGGCAGTTGCCAACACGTCCACAGCAGCCAACAGGTGGGCACAACCCAAGTGTCCATCAGTGAACGAATGGGCAAACGCAGCACAGGCTAATTATACTGTGCTGCCTTCTCCAGCCTCAAAAAGGGAGGAAACTCTGCGAACCAGCAGTTAGCGTAATGGCTATGTCGCTGGACTCCCATGTAGTCGACCGCAGTTCGAGTCCCGGACCCGGTGGCTTAAAACTCATGCCGGGTGCGTGTGCGTGCGTGCCCAAGATCCTGAGAGGAGAATGGAGGAGAAGGAATTGCGGCGTGACCATCCCCCCTGGGGGGTGATTTCTCGCTTTCTGTCTCTCTGTCTCTCTCTCTCTGTCTGGCGAGCGCATGTGCCCTATAGCAAAAACCTCTCAAAAAAAAAAAAAAAGGAGGAAACTCTGATACATCTTACAACATATATGGGGATACATAGCGCAGTCACGTTTGTGGAGACAGAAAATATAACAGTGGTTGCTAGTGGCTGGGGACAGGGGAATGGGGCATTACTATTTAATGGGGACAGAGTTTCAGTTTGAGATGACAAAGAAGTTCTGGACACGGATGGTGGTGATGGTTGTATAGTAAGGTGAATATACTTAATGCCCTGAACAGTACACTTAAAAATGGTGAAACTGGTAAATCTTATGTTAAATATGTTTTACTACACTTAAAAAAAAATACAGAGGCAGGCTCTCAAGCCGAGGGTAGCAAACATTTTTGTAAAGGGCCAGAGAGTAAATATTTTAGGCTCTGCAGGGCACACGGTCTCTATTGCAATGACTCTACTCTGCATTGTAGCACAACATCAGGCATTCGGTACAGGAATGGACAGGACTGTGTTCCAGTAAAACTTTATTCATCAAAACAGGTGCCTGGGTTTGGTCTGTGTGCTGTGGTTTGGTCTGTGCCTCGTAAGAAGCCGTAGTATAGAAAGGAATTCTTCCTTCTCAGGCATGAGGGAGGCCCTCCAGTGATTGATGTGGGAGGTGTGATTTTACCAAGGCCCTTCAAGCCGCTCTGTGAAACCTCACATGGGGACATGGAACAAATGGGACCTTGAAAGTTCAAGCAGATGACACTTTACTGATCAGAGTTGGGTTTGATTTTCATGGTTTGACGAGAGCCTCTGAGGTTGGGGGGCTGCTGAGGCCTCAAGACAAGGACATGGGAGACTGTCTCAGGAAGGCTGGGAGTGGAAGTTGCTAGGGCAGAGGTGGGAGAGTCTTTTGGGGCCTGCGCTTGCTATGGTGTGCTCACCCTCTGTGTGCACCCCACAGTGGGAGGCAGAACTGGGGCAGACGGCAAGTTTCTGACACATCATCTTTCAATCTGCAATACGGGCTGAGTGAGAGGCTGCTGCCTTATTGTTAGTATTTTGCTAGAGGTTATGTACACTCTCCAGAGAGAGAGAGAGGGAGAGAGCAAGCACTTTTCCAGTGGGGCATGGTCATGCCAAGATCTTTTCTCCTCTATTTCTCCATCCCGTCAGGATCAGAGGTACACATACATGCCCAGTCTTTTTATTCAAGCCTCCAGGCTTGAAACACAGTCAGCCATGTGGGATTTGGCTGTCTGTATTCAGGATTTAACTGTTGTGCTATGGGGCCAGCCCTCCTACCCAGCTTTTTTCTTTTTAATTGTGATTTCCAGTCTATATATAATTGCACATCTTTGTGGGGTACAGTATGGTTGGTTTCAAAGCATGTATACAGCGTGTAATCATCAAATCAAGGATGTAGATGTATTTGTCCTCATTGATGTTGAACATTACCTTATGTTGTGCATATTTGATCATTGTTACACTAGGTTTTAGGTTTTTTCGCTAGTATGTGTGTTGAATTGTCAATGGCACTTTTTACTCCTTTGTGGTTTTTAGATGGAACCTTTTCCTAGACTAGTTTGTCTAGATAGGGCTGAATCATTCCCTTCCAAATCGACTCGGCCACCTCCAGTGGTTTTTGGAGACTGTGTATCAGGAGTCAGGTGGAGCTCAGAGTTGCTCCTCTGGGTTCTTCTGCCTGGGTTAGCAAGTGCCACACTTCTTCAAGGGAGGTAGTTCCCTGGTCCACCTAAGCGTTCGGGGGTGTGGGAGGAGATGCTGTGATTGATGGCAAGGAAGCAGCAGAAGGGTGTAGTTTGGTCATGTGGACAATGCCATGTGACCACTTGGCCTGAACTGTCCTTTCAGATTCACAGGGACATCATGGCACCCAGCCTTTGGGTGTTAAAAAAAAATGCAAGAATTGACAATGATACCCTGGGCAGTATGAACAGTAGTGGGAGAGACTTGAATTCTACCAGCGAGGTTAAGGAAGGGCGTTGTATAGGGGAGGTGTTAGTAGAGTGGAGTTCTTGTTATTAGACTGATAATGACAGCCAGCATTTACTGTGGACTAAGCTAGCATGGCTTCTGCCAGGTATTGTGGTGTGACCTTAGATTTAACCCCTCTGAGTCTTAACTTTCTCATCTATGAACCAAAGGGTTTGGAATACATTTGTGTTTTTAAATCTGAGGTCATGACCCATTCATGAATGATGGCATCATTTTAATGGCCGTGACCAGCATTATAAAAATGAAATTGACTAGCCTAGACTAGAATATATTGGAATACATTGGCCTGTGGTTAAGGCTAAGTATTGGTGTTGTCTTGTAAAACTTGTTCCAGAAATATGATCCATACACACACGCACATGCAAACAGACACATTTGTCTGTGTGTGTATATGTATAAATACATACATCATACATACACTTCATTGTTGTTCACTCTGGGGAGACTCCTGGCCCTGGACAGCTTTGACTTTAGAATAAGCCCCACCATCAGGGCATAGGTGAGGGGGCTGGAAGCCAGTTCCTTAGCAGTGGAATGCAGCTGTAGAAACCTCCAGAGCTACTCGGCACCTTCTGACGCTGGTTATGTCGCTTTCATGCCGCAGTTCTTCTCTCCTTCATCCTGGACTCCTGCTGGGCACGATCTCGGTTGCTAACTCAGTGGTTTTCAGTCTTTATTTCCTCTTAACAGGATGAAGCAGAGTTTTGGAAATCACAGGTCTTTCTGAAAAGGACCTGACTCTTCTAAAACAGTTGGTTCCTGTGATTTTTTTTCAATCACACAGCACCCTGGTACATCTTGGGTTGGAAGAAAACTGTTTTTAGACCCTTTTATCCTGGGTGCTCTTGGGCACACCCACAATGGTGTTCATCAGATGGTTCGTCTGGGTTTCAATCCCATCCTCAGTAGTATCTCATAGGCCTTTTCAGAAAGAGCATGGAAAGAAGCAAGAAAATATTAACCGCAGCTGTCTCTCATCTCCTTCGGGAGCCTCACAGTCTACGTTATGATGGAAAACGTCAGCACTGCTCTGATTGGTCCACAAGAACCATTTCTCCTGCTTTCTGTTCATTTTCAGAGTACTTTTTTACTTTCTTCTTTTTTCTTTCCTTCCTTTTTTGTACTTGTGTTTAAAGGTGTGGTTTTACTCTTCTGGCATTAGTAAAACACAGAGAAGAAAAAGTCTCTAATATCTTTTTTCCCCAGTGAAAGCAGTACTTGATTATTGTAGAAGTGGAAAAATCCTAGAGTAGGATGAAGAAAGTGGGAGGTACTTACTGGTCCTGTCATTTTCTGTACATATCTGAGAGGGTCTTCAAAAAGCTTATAGAAAATGCATAATATGGAGGCCAGCAGGTAGTTAAGGTGCTGAATTCCCACTTGTTTGACCACAGTTTAAGTCCTGGACCTGGCAGCATGAAACTCACACCTGGTCTGTGTGTGGAGGGGGGTGGGTGGGTGTGGGCATGTGTGCAT